TAAAAAAAGAAAAAAAGAAAAAAAAGAAAAGAAAAAAAAGAAAATACTAGCCGACAAAACATGACTGAACCTCCCGTTCAAACCGGGGTGTTTAAAAAAAAACACTTTGAAACATTTGGCTGGCCGAATACTAGCCGGTCCACTGCCCTCTCCTGACCTACTCCCAACCTTGGTTCCTGGGGAGGTCGGCAGGGTTCGGACGACCATATTCGGCTCTGCGTGCCAGCGGATAAACATTGATTGGCATTCTGCAAGACTGCAACAGTTTCTCACGGGAACTCTGCGGCCCCAGATGTCTTACTGAGAGACGACTGCGTGTGCGAGATGTCAGTTAGCTTGAGGAATGAATCCCTTCTACTATATACCGCAACTGTTTCTCATGTCTTATTTGACACGTTAGCCTGCGTACATGTTAATACGCCTAATATGTTACATGACAAGTGAATTTTACGTAAGGAACATAATGGAACATAAAAGCATTGGTGGTAATGATACTAGATCAACCTCTATTCTTAAATTAGGTAGGTACCAGTCCTGTAACAATTATATAAAAAAAGCTATATTCATATTTTCTATGATATAAAGACTTTACCATGATCCGTTTAAGCTAATTTGACCACGCTTTAATGTAAAAAAGGGAATCTGATGTGAGCCGGATTATATGGAGCTACACATGTAATGTCGTTTTTTTTTCTAAATGGTTCTGAGGCTTCAGACTGCTAACATGTTTAACATGTCTATCATGAGTGTAGAAGTGTTATCTGTAACTCTTTTAAAAGGGTTATGTTTTTCATTTCCTTTCTTTCTTTCTGAGTTTTGGAATGGAATTGGTTGTTTCTTTGTGTACAGCGTACACAAGTCTATGCGTCGTGGATGAATCCAATGGGTATGTGGTATGTGGGTAGAAATCTTCGTCGACAGCGATGGACATCCAAGAAGAGAGCTGTGTCAGATAAACATTTTATGAGTTCCATTGTTACCGGAGGTTTTAAACCGAAACCTTTTCTCATTCCTATTTCAGTCGAATTGCTGTAATCTGGAACATGTTACCATTATCCATACGTCAACACATGTATTCAAATCTCAGCTTACCGTCTGTTAAAAAATTGTTAATTACCTCCATGAAATGTGTCATGGAGGCTATATTTACCTCCATGAAATGTGTCATGGAGGTTATATTTTCAGTTGCGTTTATCTGTCCGTCCGTCTGTCCGTCTGTCCGTCTGTCCATCTGTTGGTCAACAAGATAACTCAAGAACGCCTGGATGGATTGGTGTCATACTTGGTGTGTTGGTAGGGTGTGACGAAAACTGGAAATGATTAGATTTTGGTCCCCCTAGTGGCTTCCCTTGGTACTGCAGCGCAACTTCCGGTTTTGATATCTCGCGATCTGGACATGCTAGGGTCATGAAATTTGGATGATAGGTAGCTCTCGTGCTTGGGAAGAAGTCACATGAGTTTGGGCCCCCTAGCGGCTTGTTCTGGAACTGCAGGATGGTTTCTTTGAAAATATTCGAGAGAGGATAACTGAACAACTGTTTGATGGATCGTCATGATTTTTGGTATGTAGGTAGCTGAAATGATGCTTGACATGATTAAAATACAATTATGCAAATCAGGATCTAATTTTCATAATTAATGAGGAAATTCTATAAATCTGCTGTATTTCATATTAGGGCTATGAAACACTTTAGACATATGTAATTGAGAACAACAAGATCATTGGTAGATATTGATTATGTAAATGAAGACCTAATTTGCATAATTAATGGCAAATTGGTACAATTTTATGGTGGTAACTGCTGTGAATTTAAT